ATCTGTAATTCATCTACTTTGGAATAAAGAGAATGGTGATAGGACTGATGTCTGGTTGAGAGTTTATCCCATTCACGGATCCTAGAGTGTGCAATGTGAGGGTGTAACTGGGGCTGGGCTGTTAGTGTCTCAGCAGTCTTTGATTGGTCCTGCTCATCTTTCTTAGCAGTCCTGAGAGTGCCTAGAAAAGCCTGTGTCCTTTCTGCTCTGGCAATGAGCACTTTGTAGGAGCCATACTTGTATTTACAGATCCTTTGTGTTCAACCACAAGGACCTGCTCTAGACTTTTGCCTTGAATGTTTAGATTTGGCATGTAGAGTTGGAATTGGCTCCAAAAAGAAAGCTGACTGCCTCCATCCGGGCCTTCTGTGACAAAATACCATGTAGTAGGTTGGTAAATCAGAAACAGTGAAATAGATCATTTATAAGCAGTAATATAGATGATGTATAAACAGTAAAATAAGTGGATCGATAAATAATATATAACTAGTAAGATAGATAAATAGCTCTTACAGTCCTGGAAACTGTAACTCGAAGGCACTGGGACATTTGGTATTCAGTAAGAGAGCCTGTTCCCTCTAGATGATGCTGGTGCTGTCTCAGTGTTCCCAGTGACAGAAGGGACGAAATAACAACAAGTTGATAACTAGTTCTCCCAGGCCCTTGAATAAAGGTATTAATCCATGCACTTGTGCGAGTTGCCCCACCGATTCATGCAGCTCATTGGGGATTTCTTTCAACATAATTTTAGAGGGACTCCAATTGAAACCCTAGCCCTGACAACTTGGGTAAAAATCCATTACCCCAGCACTCCTGCAGTGAGACCTGGACACTGATGGAGCGATATGTAAGAACAAATATATAGGGGGCTGGAGAGATGGCTCAGGCGTTAAGAGTACTGTCTGTTCTTTCAGAGCACCTAAGTTCAATCCCAGCACCCACATGGCAGTTCACAACTGTCTATAACTCCTGTTCCAGGGATTGTGACACCCTCACACAGACATACATGCAGGCAAAATACCAATGTGCATAAAATACAGATTATTAAAAAGATAAAAGAACAGGCCGGGAGATGGTGGCACACGCCTTCAATCCCAGCACTGGGGAGGCAGAGGCAGGAGGATCTCTGTGAGTTCGAGACCAGCCTGGTCTACAGAGCTAGTTCCAGGACAGGCTCCAAAGCCACAGAGAAACCCTGTCTCGAAAAATAAAAAAAAAAATAAAATAAAAGAACAAATGTATATGACTAGAATTGGACCTGTTGCCCTTTTTTTGTTTTTCGGGTTTTTTTTTGTTTGTTTGTTTTTGTTTTTGTTTTTCGAGACGGGATTTTGGAGCCTGTTCTGGAACTAGCTATTGTAGACCAGGCTGGCCTCGAATTCACAGAGATCCACCTGCCTCTGAATTAAAGGCGTGCACCACCACCGCCTGGCTAAAATTTGGCCTGTTGTCTGTAATGCTTCTGAAAGGCGGTATGCTGCATGATGGTACCCATTTGTAATCCACTCAGGCTGAAGCAGGCTGAGTATGAGATCAGGTCTAGACAGCTATATCTCAGAATCTTTATTAAATTTGGGATGTAGGAGTTGCTTTCTTGGCTAACTGGATTTTGCTGTGATAAGGAAATTGGGGTTTGGTAGGGGAAGGGGAAGGAGAGCCTGGAACTCTAGGATAGTTCTAACAGGAATTCTGCAGTTGGAGGTCTTACCTCTCCCAAAGGCTGCAACCCAGAGACTTTTAAGTGTTTTGTTTTACTCATGGTAGTTAATAGATAATAGTTAATAGATGCTAACATTTAAAACTTGAGACTTTGGGATAGGAAAATGGCTCAGTGCATCAAGTGTCTGTAGTTTAAGCCTGAGGACCTGAGTTTGACCCCAGTACCTATGGCTAAACGGTGAGTATGCTTGTAGTCTCAACAGTGGAGAAGCAAAGACAGGTAAATCCCCAGAGCTCCTACCATAGTCAGTGAGCCCAGGCCAGCAAGAAGAGTTCTCAAAAACAAGGTAGATGATGCCTAAAGTTGATCCCTGACCCCCATGTACACACGTTCACAGACACACACACACACACACACACACACACACGAAGCTGGCCTCTGGTCCCCAAGCACACACATTCACAGACACACACACCCCCGAAGCTGGTCCCCAAGCACACACATTCACAGACACACACCCGAAACTGACCCCTGGTCCCCATCTACACACACTCACAGACACACACACCTGAAGCTGACCCCTGGTCCCCATGCACACACATTCATACTCATACAAATTGTTTTCTGAGAGATTCAGATTTTAAAACTTGGATTTGAAGCAGGGCGGTGGTGGCGCACGCCTTTAATCCCAGCACTCGGGAGGCAGAGGCAGGCGGATCTCTGAGTTCGAGGCCAGCCTGGTCTACAAGAGCTAGTTCCAGGACAGGAACCAAAAGCTATGGAGAAACCCTGTCTCGGGGGAAAAAAACAAAACAAAACTGGATTTGGGGTAGCCAGAGAAAAGGCTGTGATGATGCTGCTCTTGCAGAGGACTCCTAAATTCTGTTTCCAGCACCCACATGGGGCAGCTCACAACCACTTTAACTCCTAGCTGGATGAGTGGGCATGGCTGTCCACTGAGCCCCTGAGGTCCGCCTAGTTCCTTCTCCCCAGCAATGGGATTGTGAGAATCTGGCTGTTTCTTTGGCACCGGGTTCTAACTGGACTCATGCTGCTTTCACAGCCAGCACACTTTATCCTCTCCCTACCTGAATTAGGACTGAAATGTTTCTTTGTTAAGACAAGGTCCAAGCTGGGCTGTGATGGCCCATGCCTTTAATCCCAGCACTCAGGAGACAGAAACAGGTAGATTTGCAAGTTTGAGACCACCCTGAGTCTACAGAGCAAGTTCCAGGGACAGTCAGGGCTACACAGAGACCCTACCTCAAAAAACCAAGCGAGAGTGAGAAGGTCCCACTGTGTTGCCCAAGCTGACCTGGAGCTCATGACCCTCCTGCCTCTGCCTCCCAAGTACTGGATTATAAAATGAACCACCAGGCACAGCTTGTGACTGTATTTTTTACTTTCTGATGGTTACCCAGGTTTCAGTCTGGTGTGTCCCCACCATAAATCAAGAGCCCCTGTGTCCTGATGATGACGTCCTCGACCCTGTTACAGAAGCCCAGTGAGCAGTTTGTTCCAAGTCCACCTGTACCTGATAGTTTAAGTCACTTGATGTCCCAGCTCCCAGTTCTGAGGAAACTGAAGTCTTACAGCCACAAAGAGCATGCCCCTTCCCACAGCATCAGTCCTTGGCTTTGCTGCCTCCTGGGTATGTGTCCTGGTACGAGTCGTAGAGTTGGTGGGCAGCCTGTCAGTAAGCGGGGCTCTGCCCCCTCCAAAGGGCAGCTGTAGGGAGCAATGGAGGAAGCCTCCCTGGGACCTCCAAGTTAATACAAACACGAAAAGGACAAGTCCTCCATTGATTAGAAAACATCTTTAGTGCAATAAAAATAGCCCTCGGGCTGGAGAGATGGCTCAGCGGTTAAGACCATTGCCTGCTCTTCCAAAGGTCCTGAGTTCAATTCCCGGCAACCACATGGTGGCTCACAACCATCTGTAAAGAGGTCTGGTGCCCTCTTCTGGCCTGCAGACATGCACACAGACAGAATATTGTATACATAATAAATAAATAAATAAAAAATAAAAATAGCCCTCAGTCTTAAGTAGGGCCCCTCGGGAATGGGGAGCTCCCAGCTCCTCTATGGAGAGAAGCTGTCTTAAGCAGCCATCTGCTAATGGAGATAAGGGCCGGGGTTGCTACAGTGGCTTTGCCCTCTGTAATTGCATTCACCTCAAAACCCACAAGTAGCCTTTGTTCTCAGCGGTCATTATTTCATTTGAAAAACTAATTGAAAGTTGATAGAGTCTCGAGTTTTTGCGTGGCAGAGAAAGAGATGAGCAGGTGGGGCCAGGAAGGAGGAAGGAGAGGGTATGGGTCTCCCATCCAGCTCACCTCCTCCTTTGTCCCAGACTTTGGCAGGTTTCCTGCTCCAGGCTGGGGGCTGGCGGGGGTGGGGTGAGGGTGGGATTGGGGGTGGAGCAGGTGGTCTTTCATAGCCCTGATGCTGGGAGATGGGAGACCTGGCTGCAGGCTTGCCAGGACTGAAGTCAAGGGCTTCCCTTTCTGCTGGTAGTGAACTGGGCTGGCTGGGGAAACCAAGAGGTGGGAGTTCCATCCAATTTTGAATGCTGCGGTTATTTTTACACTTTTAATCATTCTGGACATCCCATCATCCAGGCTTCCCAGTTTGTTTTTATTTGTTTCTGTTTTTCTTTTTTAAGACGGGGTCTGTCTATGTAACCCTGGCTGTCTATAGACCAGGCTAGCCTTATGCTCACAGAGATCCTCCTGCCTCTGCCTCCTGAGTGGTAGGATTAAAAGCGTTCACTACCACCACCTTGCTATGGTTTTCAGTTTTTAAGGTTTACTTACAATAAAATGCCTTTTTTTTTTTTTTTGAGACAATGTGTGTATCCAGAATGACCGGGAATTTACTGTGTAGCCAAGGACAGTCACCTGTTTTCTGAGACATTGTCTCTTACTGGGTCTTAGGACTCACAGACTAGACTAAACTGATTGGCCAGTGAGCCTCAGGGATGTCTTCCTTGACCCCTCCCTCACTGGGACCACAGGCATGTGCTCCCGTGTCACCTGGTTTTTATGCGGGTGTCAGGAACCGAACTCAAGTCGTCATGCTTGCTTGCACAGCAAGAACTTCACCATCTGAGCCTGCTCTCCAGCTCCAGCTATAGTCTTACGCTTTGTGAAGCTAAACCTGGGAGAGGCAACCACATAAACCATATTTGAAAAATCAGATGGACAATAAGAAAATTGAAGCGCAGATCAGGATAGGGAATTTTATTGTATTTACAGAGGAAGGAGAAAGTCAAAACTGAAATGAAAGTAACTGAGTCCAGTTGTTTGGGGTGTGGGTGGCCCAAGCCTCTGCTGAAAGCTTCATCCTTGGGAATTCCTGCTGTAGAAAGAAAGAGACACTCAATCTAGACTCTGGTAAGCAGGGGCAGAGCTTCTGGGTTCCCAGAGGTGGGAGGCAGTGGTCAGAAAGATGCTCATGGCTGCGGAAATGTAAATCCCACTCTTAAACCCTGCCCTGCTAACCAGCTGCCACTGAGACCCTGGGCTAGTCACTTCCCTTCTGACCCTAAGACAGGACCAGCTTCTTCCCAGACAAACATGTGCCACACCCTTCAAACCTTTCTGTTGGTCACAAGTTGAATGAACAACCTCACAAGAACAAGTGGGAATCCTCACTGCTACCCCTGATCTGAGCACAGCTGATCCCCAGCCTAGGCCTTCACACGCAGTATCTGCTGACCGGCTGCTACAAAAGTGAGAAAATGGCTCAACCAGCTTGGCAACTTCCTGTCAGGGAGGATAGCAGAGGTGGGTGGGTCTCATAGTTTAGGCAGACCTGGAATTTACCGAGTAGCCCAGGCTGGCCTTGAACTTGCTGTTTTAAAGATTTATTTACTTAGGTATGGATTTTATGTTTCTGGGTGTTTAATTTGCATGTATGTCTGCAAACCAGAAAAAAGCATCAGATCCCATGGGACTACAGTTACAGATGGTTGTGATGTGGGTGTTAGAAATTTAACTCAGGACTTCTGGAAGACTGCCTCCAGTCTGGTTCCCCACCCCCGACCCTCATCATCTGCCTGACAGTGAAGCTGGTGAGCTTTCTGGTTCCGAGTGCCTAATCAGGTCAGAAGGAAGGCGTGGGGCGCATGGCCAGCTCTGATGGAGCTGAGTTTGTTTTAAGGCTGCTGTGGGAGCACCCGATAGAACTGCACCATGAAGCACCGTGTGCTCAGTTTACAGTCAGGCTGTCGAATGCAGCGTTTCTTTCTGGATCGGCTAGTCTCTTCCACCCTGCCTCCTCCACTTAACTTCGGTTTTCCTCTTCTGTAAAAGGGGAAACTTCTCCATCTATCCTGACTCCCAGTGGAAATGTGAGGGCCACTGAGATGGGGAATGACCATCATGGCCAGCTCTGCCTCTACCCCTCATGACAGCGTTCTGCCTGCTCTGGTCAGCCACTGGGCATGACAAAGCTGGCCTGTCTTGGGCATTATAGGTTCATGGGCTTCACATGGGATCCGAGGTGTACCCTTCATACCGCCACAATGCAGTCCATTGGGACACCCGTTAAAACTCAGGGTCTGAGACCCAAACCAGAAGCACTGATGACATTTCAAGACACGCCAAGCCTGACCTCTTGGTCTGCACTGGACACTGCAGTGGCCATCCCTCACACACATCCCTCCCTGTCCCTGAGGCCTGCGGTGGAGAGGGGGTACTTTAGGCCCCACACCTGCGAAAAGGTGATTCTTTGCTTTTCTTAGAAACCCAGAAGGAAGGACGTCTCTAAAGTCCCTACAGAAATTATCTGCCTCCTCCCTGCCCCCCACCCCCGGTCACCTGTGACGTACAGCCCCCCTTCTCCCTGCCCCCATCACCTGTGCTTCTGCAACAGGGCTACCAAGAGGCTCTCCAGCGCCACCTGCCTGTGGTCCACCCACATGCTGTCCACCTGCCGGCCAGGCCGTATTCTGGTTCCTTCCTGGTTCCTCTCCCTGTGGGTTGGGGAAGGAGAAGCAATGAGATTGTCAATGGGTAGACTGTCCAGTCGGGGGTGTAGCCCTTTGCTATTCCGGCATCTGATTGTGGATTCTTAGGAAACCCACTTGCATTCAGCAACACCTGGGGAGCAGCGTGCACGGCAGTGAAATATGGAGCACACGTATGTGTACCGCTGCAAAACCCTCCCCACGGATTGCTAATCTTATAGATAGCACATTAAACAAGTGGTCCAATGTAATGTCCACCAGTAACAGGACAACCCGTTGTGTGGCAGCTTCTGATACTGTGGCCACAGCGGGTACTGATTATGAAGGTACCCTGGACAGGTTCACAGTGAAGGACCGTCTAGCAAGCAATGACATCTACCAGTCAAAGTTGCCCAAGTCAAAAACATCAGGCGTCTTCCAGATTAAACTCAAAGATATGCAAAGGGCTGGAGAGATGGCCCAGCAAGTAAGAGCCCTTGTTGTAGAGGACCCAGGTTTGATTCCCAGCATCTGCATGGTGCCTTACAGCCATCTGTAACTCCAGATTCAGGGGAGCCAAGGCCCACTTTGGACCTCAGAGGGTACCCTGGCATGCATGTGGTGCACAGACATACATGAGAAATGATACACATAAAATAAGGCTACGATGAAAACGGAAATACGGTGGTGACTGAATGGAGCTGGATCCCACGCTGGGTCTAGAGTCAGAGAAGAAATAATTATAAAGAATTATAATTCAACTGATGAAATTTGACTATGTGTCGTGAGTGACATGGCCCTGAGGACAGGAGGGGGTGTGGTTTGTTAAATGTTAGGAGACACAAGCGCCATGGGGGAAAAGGTATTGAGAACTGTAATGTGCAAGCCTGCAATCAGGAGGCTCAGAAGCAAGTCATCCTCAGATACGTATCGAGTTCAAGACCAGCCTAAGCTATACAACACCCTGTGTCAAAAGAAATAAGAAACTTAAAAATGGCTCAGTGAAAATGAGACCATCATCATGGGAAACGTGCATGTGTCTAGGTGTGTATGTGTATGTTACTGGTCTAAGGAAAAATGATGAAACGTTAGGCACTGTTGACTCTAAGAGTACTACTGTAGCTTTAAATTTTGTACTTATTTATTTTTATGTGTATGGGCTTTTTGTTGTTGTTTGCCTACATGTATGCCTAGTGCCTTTGGAGGCCAGGATGCCCTGGGACTGGAGTCGAAGACAGGTGTCAGCCTCCATGTGGGTGCTAGGAATTGAACTCAGACCCTCTGCAAAAGCAAGACATGCTAATTCCATCCCCATAACATTTTTGTATATTTGAAGGTTTTCCAAAACAAAAACTACAAATTCATACTGTTTGGATCTTTGCCTGGCCACGTTCTGTGCATCCTTTAGAGATGACACATGGGGTCTGTCTGGGAGGTAATGACAGTTGGCCTCACAGGTCTGAGAAGAGACTTATAGAGGCTGCTCTGGCACAGGTTCCTGTGTCCCCAGCTGAGTCCTCATGTATGCACAGGTCCCCGTGCCTCGTCTTTGTTTCTGGCCTGGAGTCCTGATCAGATAGGAACAATGACCATCAGCATTGTCACTGCTGAAGCCAAGGACAGGGAGAGGCACACAGAAGGTAAGCGGAGGTTCGACTTGTGTGAAATTCAGTCTGTGGGTTGCCACCTCTTTGGGGGTCTCATACCAGATATTTACATTACCATTCAGAACAGTATCAAAATTAGGGTTATGAGGTAGCAACAAAATCATTGTATGGTTGAGGGTCTGTATTAAACATGAGGAGCTGTATTAAAGGGTTGCGGCAGTAGGAAGCTTGAGGACCACCGATATATACTGTGTCAGGGAAGAAACAAAGCTTGGCTCCCACCTCCTGCCTCAGGCCTTCCCAGCTCTCGTGCGAGGTGACTAGGAAGGAACTACTAGAATGTCTGCTTACCCCTGCTGCCTGCTCATGATGTCCTGGAGCAGTTTGCGGGCAGACAGCTGGCCCAGAACTTTCCTGTAGCTGTTGGTGAAGATGGCGTCTGCATATCGCCTCATCCTGTGCAAAAGGGTCAGAGGTCAGGATGGGGCCCAGGGAAAGGACAGTGCGAGCTACACTGTATCTCAGCACAGGCCTCCCTCTGTTCTGTGTTCCCCTCACGCCCACAGAGACTCCAAGCCTGGCTGCGTGTCTTCCCGAGCTCCATGACTGGTCCCTGCCTGAGGTGAGCAGTGGGCACGGTGAGGCACAGCTGGTGGCTCCAGTTGGCATCCGCTATTATGGGGAGGTCCTGGAGGTGCAAGCTTCCTGGCTGCTTACCTGAAGGGCAGTGAGGTGGGCAGTGAGCAGTGGGAGCCACTGGTGAGGGTGAGGATCACAAAGAACACCCAGAGTGGCATCCTTCACCTCTGGGTGGAACCTGCACAAGAGACCAGGAAGGCACACTCAGACATAGTCACAGGGTCCCCAGGGCACCACTCCATGACATGCCCTGGTCCTCGTCCTTTGGCTGTGGGACTTTGGAAGTCAGTCAGACATACTTAGATTTAAATCCAACACTGTCTGTCCTCAGCTCTGGCCTCCCTACCTGCAATGAAGTCACAGCAGCCACCTCATGAGGCTGAGTAGAAAATCCGTTAACATAGGGAAACCGCCTCTCCTGGAAGGTGCGAGGGAACACACACACACTCAGGAGAGACACAGGAGAGAGCATCACCCTCTGGCTGGCAGACAGCAGGGGGCAGAGGACGCCATGCCAGCTCAGCTCCTAGTTCTGCTCTCACTACCTGAGCTCCCTGTTACAGGTGCCTTAGCCTGTCTGAGCCTCAGTTTCCCCAGCCACAAAATGGAGATAATAACCATAAGTATCAGGACAGGTGAGAAGAAACACCGCAAGGAACTCCCTAGAAACTCTTGCTGTGGTCACCTAACACTTATTCAGAAGGTAGATTCACGCCATTTCAGTGTGGAGTTGGAGCAAAGACAGAAACTTCCTGTCCTGGAAGCTGACATTTTGAAGGTGGGGTATGAGACAGTGTCTAGAAATGGAGCCAGGGCTTGTCTGCACTTCACTGTATTGCACAGGCTGACTTTAACTCATAATTCTCCTGCCTCAGCTTCCTGAGAGCTGGAATTACAGCCATGTGCCTCCGCACCTGGCGGAATTGTTAGGTTATCCCTAGCTCTGAAAGGGAAGGACGGAGCATCAAAGTGAGTGTGCCAGAATCTTCTCACAGACTTCATAATTGCCCTTCGCTGGGGCCTGTGAACACCAAGTTCTGGGGCCTGTGAACACCAAGAGGATGTTCCTGTCCGCTCTGGCCTGCCCTGGTGGTCTTCTCCAGGATGTCTGCTCTGGAGGATCTGATTGGTCCCTGAAAGGCGGTACCCCTCCGTTCCCGTGATTCCTCTCTCTCCCATGTTCCACTGAGGGCTGACTTCTGCAGGCAGGACCAGCACTAACCAAGTCCAGAATGCCTGCCTAGGTTCACTTCTCTTCAGACAACAGGCCCCTTCTGCAGATTCTGGCCTTCTCTGGTCAAGAATGCCTTGGGTTCCAGAAAGCACCCGTAGGAACTGTTCACTGTGGTCCCGGGTCCCTCACCCCACACCAGGCCTCTCAGGTACATTTTCATGTGACTGTCTTGTTTCTTGTATCTGCACTCTCTGTCTTCCTCATGTATCACACTGCGGCTTTCCTTTCCCAGCTGGGCTGGGCCTCTCTGGAAGTGGACTTTCCAAACAGGGAACTCTTTGGGCATAGGAAAGGTGCCTTGACTATAAGCACTGTATTTCCTGTCTCTCTATGACACATTGGCTTTTCACCTCCTTCATGTCTCATCTCCAGACCCCTAGTTTCAGTCTCTCTCTCTCTTTCTCTCTCTCTCTCTCTCTCTCTGTTTTTCAAGACAGGGTTTCTTTGTATAGCTATGGCTGTCCTGGAACAAACTCTGTAGACCAGGCTGGCTTCGAACTCACAGAAATCTGTTTGCCTCTGCCTCCCGAGTGCTGGGATTAGAGGTGTGCATCACTGTGCCTGGCTGGCCCCTGATCTCTTTACTCCCATGATCAGAAACCCTCTGGCATGAGGTCCAGGCCCTGCTCTTAACCGAAGCTCTCTTCTGCCTCCTTCCCTCCTGCCCTGCTCCCTAGAGTTCAAAAGGAAATCCCATCCCCCACCCCCACCCCACTGTCCCCACCTCCGCCTACAGGCCTGTCCTGCCTAGTTTCAGAGCTGGACTGTCAGCCTCGGTTCACAGCCAACACCAGAGTCAAGGAGGAGGAAGGGATTTCTCAGATGATTCCCCATCAAATTATCTTCAGAGTGGGCCCTTACTTCCCAGGCCGTCGGACTTCCTCCTGCTCACATGCAATTCCCTAGCCACAGTTCTCCCTATTCATGAGGCTTAGTTCAGGGTTTATCACCTGCACCTGGGAGAGGGGTCAAAAAAAAAAAAAAAAAGGATAGCTTTTGTTCCTTGTCATGGGGCCTCCCAGAACTCCAAAGAGGAACAAATAGGAACACTTGCTTGACTGGCACCTCCCTCTGCCAAGGAGTTGAAGTAAACTTATTAGAGAGCAGACTTTGGGGAACAGTTCTCACAAGTCCAGCAACACCCCCATTCATTCATAAGAAGGCTCGGTCGCTGCACAGCCTGGTCAAGCAGAAGCAGCAACACTTGCCTTTTGTCCCAGGGATAGGCCCAGACTCTACAGCAACCCCAGCTAGGCAAACCTATTGCATGAGGTTGCCCAACCCCAGTAGATAAAGATGGGAACAACAAGAATAATTTGGACTGAGGGGTGGTGGCGCACGCCTTTAGTCCCAGCACTCAGGAGGCAGAGGCAGATGGATCTCTGTGAGTCTGAGACCAGCCAGATCTACAGAGCAAGTTCCACAACAGCCAGGTTTACACAGAGAAACCCTGTCTCAAACAAACAGACAAACAAACAAAAAACAAACAAACAGAAACAACCAGAGAAATAGTTTTCAACTATTCTCCTGTGTGACAGAGTGGCCCAAACCCAGCTGAGTCTGGCAAGGTTTAAGGTACTCTAGATCTTGGGCATGATTAGTTATGGGATTGGACATAGCTGAGGTCTTGGGTGTTGGGAGAAGAGGGCATCAATTCTCATCAGTTGACACCTTTTGACAGCCTCCTGTCACAAGCACCACAAGAATTCTACAGACACAAGGAGGGAGGGGGAACTGTGGTCGGTATGTAAAATGAATTTTAAAAACTTACAATTAAAACAAATAAATAATAATAAGAAGAAGAAGAATTCTACAGACACACATCCATGCAAATGACAGGTTAGGTCTCAGATGTCCACACAAACAAGGGTCTGTAAAACCCCTGAGGGACTCTTCCAGCTTTGTTAAATGTTCTCCTTTGCAACTGAGAACTGCCAAGTGTCGAGATTCTCAATTCTGAAGTCATTTAACCAAAAACACCTCAAGTGCAAGAAAGTCTGAGGCTGAACATTTCTGTGGTGTGGGAGACAGAACCCAGGGCTTTGTACGTTCTAGACAAAGACTGGACCACACCCCACACGAAATCTTAAGTGTTCAATGAGGAAGCAAGTGCTAAAGAAGGATTTGAGGCAGTTTATGGTGGAAAACAATAATAACGATAAGTACTTCAGCTCTATTTTCAAGCGAGGTGTAGGAATCAGGATGCGGTCATAAAAGCCTCTAAAACCCAATAATTGTGACTGAAAATTAGAGCAAGGAGCATGGCTGCAATTGAGGGAGAAAGCAAAATGTTATCAGTTTCCAGGCAGTTACTGAGTTGGTTCTCAGTGATCCATGAGCCACATCGATCTCTACAGCAACTGGGCTGCTTTCGGATACACGGCTGAGTCTTGTCACTGACAGGAGAATCCATCCAGCTCATGTCTCAACCCAGAGGCCTACCCCACACCCTGAAAGGAGCCCCCGAGGCCGCCCTCCCCTCTCACCAATTCCTGTGACACTTCTGCCTGCCTCTTCCCCATGACCCAAGTGTCATGCCTTCCCCACAGTGCCTACATGGCATCAGCCACCAAAAGCACATTCCAGAGTCTCTACTGAGCGGTCACTGCACTCAGAATGGGAACTTCATGTCCTCACCAATCCGTGGACCTGGAGGCTGGCCATGGGCCACTTGACTTGGTTTCCATTAGTTGGTGAAATGTCAGATTTTCTGGTCCCTTCCCAGCCCTTCCCCAGGACCGCTCCCTCTCACCTCCAATACGACAGGTGTCCGGCTCTGTCTGAGGACTGCTCGGGTCCCACTGACCTCAGGCATCTGCTTCAGCCACAGCCGCGCGCTCACATTTATACCTTAATTTCCCTGAGCGTCGTCCGCGTCAGAGAGTCGATTACGCACGAGTCATCTAATGCGCCGTTTTTAGCACGACACGGATGATCTCTAATGGGGAAAAGTGGTGTTTGTGCCCCCACAAATTAAGGTCCATACCAAACTTTCCCTCTGTCTATGAGGGGGTGAACGGAATCGAATGTTGAATGACTATTCTGAGAAAAATAGTGAATAATACTAAGATTCTAGTAATTATAATATTTATAGCACTGTCATGGCTTTGTCCATCCTCCCAAAACTGTGCCTCTTCAAGTTCATATCATTCTGTTTTGTCCACACGTAACTTTATTTCACTTTGGAGCAGTCTTACCAATAAGTGTTTTATTTCTCCCTGAGGAACATTGTTCGCCGTCTCCCCCGTCATCCAGTTCTCAGAATCTCCCTGTGTTTGGTCTATACCAGCTGCTGCTGTCCACCAGCAGGTTTTGACTGCCGAGCCCCAAGCAAGACAGCCCAACATGGCAGCTGTCACAGCGAAGTGTGAAGTGTCACACAGAGAGAGAAGAGGTGGAGGCCTTGGGAGAACTGAGATGTTCCCAGCACACACACGTCTGAGCAGAAGCCCTGGCTTCCTGTGCAGCTCTGTGAACTAGTCAGAGAGATCGCCACACAGAGTCGGAGATCTCCATGCCTGTAAGTCACAACCTCTGTGACCGTTCCGAGCTCCTTCTACCCTCCAGGCCTCAGGTCTACGCCAGTGAGTGACAGCTGTAAACTGTTTAAAAGTTTAAAAGTAAACTTTTAAAAAGTTTCTTTTCTTTGGAAACCTATCTAACCTATGAAACAGTTTCTTAAGTGGGCCTAAATGAGTACTGGGGTGTGTGTACCTGCAGGGCCAACTTCTTAGGAAGCCGAGGCAGGAGAATTGCTTGAGTGATATTTTGCAACCTTGCTTCCTAGCCTTCACTGAGCCGAGAGATGTTCCTCACAAACATGAGATGTTCCTCACACAGGTGAAGGCTAAGGGGCACGTCACCCTAGTGGCCATGTCTGTACGAAGTGGTCAGGTCAGGACATAGCTTAAAGAATTAAAAATG